TTTTTTTATTTACAACAAAGATGCGGATATTGCAAAAAAGTTATAATGACTGATTTTTAAAGGCGATTGTTTTAATTTAGTTAAATAAAAAAAAACCGTTTGGCATTAAAAACTATTTAAGTTATATAAAAAAAATTGGCTTAAAAAATAAAAAATATTTTATTAAAAACTAAAAATTATTACTAAAAAAAATTTAAAAAATATTGTTTTAATAAAATGAAATTATTAAAAAATTACCGTAATATTTAGTAAATTAATTATTTAAGAATGTTAAAAAATAAAAAAAACAAACTCAGAAAAATAATAGTTTGTTTTCTTTGCACTTAAATTAAATAAAAGAACCTTTTGGTATTAAAAAATAAAAATAAAAAAATAAATATTTTATTAAAAAATATTATATCAAAAAAAAAAAATAAAGAATAAAACCAATTGTCTTTTTTTTATTTATAAAATATTTTTTTTTATAAAACGAAATCAATAAAACAATTTCTGTCTCTTATACACATCTAGATGTGTATAAGAGACAGATACAAATACTGTTTATGTTTTTCAAACATTATTTAATCGTTTTAAAAAAATAAATTATTTTTATATATCTGTTTAAATTTAATTTAATTTTTATATATATTTTTATATTTTTTTTAATTTTCAGAATTTTTTTGTAACCCCCAAAAATAACTTAATGTATTAAAAAATAGCGACCCAACATTTTGTTTTGGCTTTTCACATTTCTTTCGTTAAAAAATCCTTTAGTAACGTTAAAAATATCTTCGTTTTATTCGAGAAAAATTCTTTTGAATTTGAAGAGATCTAATAGTGGACGAATTATAATTTCTAATTGGTTTGAAATGCCTAAAATTGTAGACATATTTTCTAAAAAGTTAAAAGTTAGACAAACCAAAAATTTTCAAATATACTCAACAAAATCACAATGAAGATTCGTTCAAATAAAACAAAATCATACAATACAATACTGCACAAATACAAATGCACTCATGAATATATAGGAATCAAATCTCGAATTCCTCAACATCATAAAGTCAAAAGATAAGATATTCCAAATGGCTAATTTTGATAATAATCAATCAAAATATTGCCGCCGCTTTGTTTGCAAAGCGAAAAAGAATTCTACCTGCATTTTAAATCAGCCAAAAATTGCCTTTTAGATAGCAGTACTGCCAGAACAAAGGCACAAAGTTGAACGCGGCGCTTTTGTTTCAATGCCGACAACGCAAAAAAAATAAAAATAAAAAAAAAAATCGTCCTAGGCTTTGTAGAGATGTGCGCCTGGGCCACGACGAGCCAAAGTAAGTGGATGTGGAAGAACACACATTATTATTAAAAATTTTTTTCGACTTGCAGCCTTTCAATTTATTTTTCTTTGCGCGCACATCCATACAAATATACAAACACATATTTTTGAGGAGAATTTTTAGTCGCGGAAGCGCACTTAATGCATTGCAAGCAACCATCGTCGCGCTTTTTCCCACCAACATACAGAGCACTCGCCACTCCAATCCACTCCACTGCACACGCTCCTTAACTGCTTTGCGCCTCAATCTATATATAAACTGGATTTTTGATGTGCCGTTTGTGGCCCTTTCAGGTCTTCTTCACGTCTGTTGCGCGACTTTTTTGTTTTTGTTGTTTCAGCGACATTCCTTGGCATCTTCATTTCTGTGCGCTACCAGCGGAGCATCTTAAATGCAATAACAACAATAACAAAAGCGAAAACAAGCACAACAACGCAGCGCTAGTAATGTGAACAATGAGAAATTGCTTCGCATTTCGCCGCACCGAAGCGCGGAGCAGCAAAGCAGGCTTATCCTTGCTGATCCTTCGCTATGTTTGTACTTTGCCGTCGCTGCCACGAAATGAGTGCATCGCGTAAGTCCTCGGTCGCTGCCGCACCAGCTGTGCACTAATTTGCTGTCTATACCACTCATTGGTGGGCAGTGACGACGGCGGCGAGTTCCTTGAGGGTTGCGTAGCAGCGGCTAGAGCACAGCTGTGGCAGCCGCAGGTATTGAGTTAAGTGGAGCAACATATTTTTATACAAACGCACACACATACATTCATGCTTATGATACGCTCATTTGAGTTTTGTTGTTGTTTTGTCTTTTGAACATTTTTCCGCCTTTAACAAGTTCTTCAGTGTACAGCTTCCACTGCTTGTTGTTGTTGTTGTTGTTGTTGTTGTTGTTGTTGTTGTTGTTAATTGTGGTGATAGAATCTGTAAGTTGGCTTTGGAGTTGTTTGTGCTTTATGGCTCCACTTTGCAGGTCTCAACTTGCACGCCAAAGCGGCACAAATGAAGGAAGGTGAGTCTGCAGGCTTGTCTTCAATGTGTTGCGTGAAGCATGGCGACGGCGGATAGCGCACAAAGGTCGGCTGCAATTCAAAACTCAAAGCTTCTTTGACAGCGGTAATTGAGATTAGGGCTTGTTTAGCTGCGCGATTGGCAAACGTTCTAAAAGCGACTTAAAACACGTATAATAAGGGAGAAAAACAAAATTACGGAAAATATTTTATGCACGACAACTCGAGTTCTAACTGGTCTGCAAATGATAATGAGTCAGCGACTGGTGCTGTTTTGACGGGGTCGGAACAAAGGAAAAGAAATGTCAGATGAGTAAGGTTAGTGGAGCATGCAAGGAGGTGACCGGTGTCATGCGGGGACATATGTTTGCTATGTCCCGGTCTATTCTGGATAATTAGGAGTTTGACCTGCTACAATATCTAGAACGAAGCTGCGCAAGGATCATTCTCATTTCTCGCGTGCCTCACTATGTTTGCAGCTTCCTCGTCTGTGTTTCACCATATTGGTGCGGCTTAGTTAAGAACCGGCCGTCTGATTGCTTTGTATGTTACCAACAACGATTCTTTGTCTTTTCCCCATGTGCTGCCGGCAAGCGACTTGAGGATTTTCTTATGGATCTGTACTTTGGCAATAATCGCGACCGTGTGAGGAATGAATGAAGAATTGACTTTCGACAAATTTTATGGTGCGATGCTGTACTGTGATCCAATATCAAGTCTCTAAATTTGAGATTTTAAGTTAGAGACTTGAGACGATTTTGCTATTCTGTAAGTGACTGTCACAAAATCTATTACATTTCATTATTTAGAAATGTTTTTATACTTGAATGAAAATAAATATGTCGATAACAAATATTAAATTTTCTATAACATAGTCAAAAACATAATTACCGATAAAAAAAAAAATTTATGTTGACTTTGATTCATAATATTTACAAAATGTATGTAAAATTTATTTATTTTTACCTTTCTTTGTCTGAGTTGCTCACAAAATTAAAAAAAAAAAAMACGACAATCGATTAATATCTATGATGATCTCTATTCAGTGTAGTCAAAATGGCAGACAAGAGTTCCTCTTTAGTTTTGTGGCCTGCTAACTATCAGGTCTTAAATTTGAGTCGATATTTTGAGACTAACGAGAGAGACTGCCTAGTGAATAGTAACTAGTCACAAATTGAGACTTTACCTCAAAATGTCTCAAATAGAGACTAGAGACTGTTTACAGAATCCCGCTATTAGTTGTTGGAATCTTAACACTATCGACTGCATATTCACAAACTAGACGAAGAAATACAGACTTGATTTCTAGACTAGTTTGTGAATATGGTCGCTGTAGATCTAGTGGGGAGTATTAATTTCCGCGCTGCGACAAAACTCGAAGTTTGCGTTGCGAAGTTTGCAGTCTTGTTTGGACCCGATTGTCGGAGGGATTGTGTGGGAGGTTTTTTTTTAGTATTCGTAATGGCTTAGACCCTACCAAATCTATTCGTCTTGAGCGATCCCGACATGAAACCACTGTAAGAGAATAAACTTCAAACATAAATTTTAATGAAAATCCATCGCAATCGAATTATGATTGTATAAAAATTGTTTCAGGGTGTCTTCCATTTGGTTTAGTTTACAATTTTAGTGTTTCTAAATCATACCGAAGCATATTTGAAAATATAACCTCAAATTAAAATTTCTCCCAATTACGTTCACAACTTATGGGCTAATGCCAATGTCCCGATACTGAAAATCTTACAAAGAAGAATATCCCGGTGTCAAATTTAAAGTTCCTCCATACAGGCAAGCTTACGTATTATGAATATTTAGGGATTCTCCCAACAAATTCAACAGAAATCGTAGTTGCTTTTAATTATTATTTTATTCATTAATTTTTTTCTGGAGTTTTTGCAAAGAGTCAATACCCGTTATCCCTACCCAGCTATAATTTTTTCGTACTAACCTAAAAATATAAAAATATCTGTCAATAAGATTGGTTGGTGTTACTCAATAAAAACACACACACACACACTCAAAAGAATATGTGTCACATGGGCAACTCTGGCCGTATTGCACCCACAGTCATATGAGCGCCCTGAGCTTGTTACCAACAAATTTTCGAAGGCCAATACGCGCTGCGCTGCGCTGCTGGCCCTGAATTTATTTCTTCATGCGCCTAAAATCTCGCACAGCGTTAACATTGAAACATGCTCTCATTGCAAGGAGAAATAAAAATCAATACGACCACCGAGCGACAAACGGGACAAGGTAAATGTGGAAATAAGTATTACAAGTAAAACAAAAAAAAAAATAAATAAAAATAAACAAACACAAGGGAATCTTAATGCCAAAAAAAAAAAAAAAAAAAAAAAAAAAAAAAAAAAAAAAAAAAAAAAAAAAAAATGAAACAAGAGACACAGCTGTGCGCCTAAAAGCAGATTATTGTTGCGCATTATTTTGATAGAATTTAGAAATCCAGCTGAGCTGGAAATTAATTGGCTTTCGGCCTACAAACACACACATACTATATACATGTATACAAGCTTGTATACCAAAACGCTCATAGGCTTCATTTACTCCCTTTATAAATTTACATAGGTATTTATCGATTAGTTGGTCAAATTCATCACTCACTCCTCAATTCACACACACACACACACACACACACACACACACACTTTAGCACTCACACTCACCTTATCTGATGGAATTGTCCTGCTCAATTTCTGCGTAATCACCGCACCGCCATTGCTGCTTACCACAGATGGTGTAGTTACGATGGCAGCATTCACTGTAGAGCCAGCGGCGCCCATAACGCCGACTGCCGAAACCGAACCGGTGCTAGAGCAGCAAGACGACGATGAACCGGACGAGCACACCGATACGTCGGTGTGATGGCGCTTCATGCTGTTCGGTGTGTTCGTGGAGATGGTCGTGACGGCCACAGCGGTTACAGTGCCGTCAGGGGTCGAGAATGACGTTGATGGCCTTGCAACGCCGCCGCGTTGTGAATACGAAGTATATTGTTGTTGTTGTTGCTGCTGCTGCTGCAACGAGGGATGTTGTTGTTGTTGTTGGTACGGATGTGAGTGATGCACAGCAGCCGAAGTGGAGGCCGAGGCCGATACTGAAGGTGACGAGGATGTCGACGATGACGGGGTCAGTAGTGAGTGTGTCGACTGATTGTGTACCATGTTGCCCGCATTGCCACCGCCACAGCCGTTACCACTGGAGCTACTGCCGTCATTGCTGTTATTTGGTTTATAGTTATTACCGTTGCCGTTGCCATTGCCGTTACCGTTGGCATTATTGGTGTTACCTACTGCTGTGCCAGACTTCATGGAGGTAACACCGCCAGTGACGCCGCTAAAAGAATTATTCGATGAAGATGAGGACGAGTGGGTGCGATGACGGCTAAAGTGAGTGAAATTATTGGCCGAATTGGTGTGATGATGGCCGGAGCCGGAGCCGGAGCCAGAGCCAGGGCCAGCGCTGACAACAATTGCTGTGGTCGTATGCTGGTGCGGATGGTGTTGATGCTGATGTTGATGTTGTTGATATTGATGTTGTTGAGGTTGATGTTGATGCCGGTGGTGGTGTTGGTTATGGTATGATTGATGGGATGGCAATGGCGCGCTCGGAGATGTGGGTGTATCAATAGACGAAGTTGTCGACATTATCGCTGCTATTGTACCGCCAAAGGAAAATTTCAGCAAATGTGCGTTTTCAAATTTTCGTTTTATTTTTCTATTTTCGTATTTTTATCACGCTGCTATTAACCTTGAGCGAAAACGCAAATTTAATGCTTATATACACAAAGAACAACCAAATAAAAAATTTAAGCGTACATAAATGTTTTTTTTTTTTTAACCAAACGCACAAATTTAAAAAGTTCATAAATTTAAAGCTGTTAGCTATCGCGAAGTTTTATATTATTGATATTTTATTGGACCTGATAGAAGCTGCTACCAAAAATGCATTGAAATAAATTTGGCCAACACTTGCCAGCAAAAAATTATTAACCAAAAAAATTAACCAAAACAAATTATTTTTAACTATTTATTGTGTAATATGTATGCACATTTGTACACAAGTAGATGCCTTTGTAATATGGCATTGAGCCGCCGCAACGCTCCAATGACGTCTGCGTCCTTGCCGCCGTTGTGGTAGACCTTAGCCTCCGTTGTAAATAAATAAAAGAATTCAGAATGCTTTAAGCAAAAGATATGGATATGTAAACATATGTATATATTATGTTTGTGTGTATCCATACGAAAGATAATGCATGTTGGGTGTGGGCGGCTGTGCTGACCAATGTGTCTTTATACATTGGAAGAAATATATATTTTGCGCATCTTAATCAACAAGAAAAAGCACAACTCTTTAAAGTTGTAAAAGAATAATAAGCACCCTCAATAATTATGTGGAAATTATAATATATTTTGAAGGTACACATTATTATTATTATTTATTTGGACTTCTTCGTCTGTTTTCCAATACTGCCCCCAATAAACACACATTCGTACAAGCAGCAACAGCAGTGGAAATATGCTCTCAGCTGCTTTGCGCGCTCTCTCACTGCTTTTGCTCTACGCTTGACTATATTTCATTTGCTTATTTCGCTCTAAACAAATTCACTGCACGATTTGTTATTATTTGATTTTTCCCACAGGAAGAATATTTAGCAACACTAATTTGTTTTGATAAGTTTTCACATACAATTAAAAAAATATACAAAATCATACAAATATAAAACTCATAATATTTTAATTAATTTAATTTTATTTTTGCTTTAGAAATGGGCAATCAATTTTCTTGTGGCATATACAAATATTTCTATCTTTTCATGCCCACACAGTTGTACGCCAGCGATTTTCATCTACCTATTAGCTTATTTTTTCACGATATTTTGTTACTTTTTTGAGTTTTCTTGCTTATCTCACCTCTTCAGATATTTACCAACCAAAAGGCGATTTTTCATTTAGTGTAGAGAATTAAAAGTTGTTGGCAGCGAAAACAACACGATGCGTCGCAATTGTAGCAACAACATAAGCAACACGCAATTTGTGTTTCTTTTACTTCGCTATATCACTTCAACCATAACTTTTTGTTTTATAATTTTTCCAATTTGCACAAAATATAGTTGTATTTATTTATATTTTTCACTTGCTTCTTTTTCAGAGAAAGAATTTCACGATTTGTATTCTTTTACTTAAAATCCTTTCTCTACAATTTTCTCCTATATGAATCGATTTACACAAATTTCCCGAGCTCTCGCAATAAAAATCGCACACTCTACCAATAAACACTGCAGCTTTGTGCAGCACACAACAACAAAGTGTTGTTCTTTTTACGTTGAACACACACACGCACAAAACACAGTTTTGAATTAAATGGTTGATCTTTTTCTTAATTTATGCGTATTGCAATTATTTTTTGGACGCTTTCTTTGCTTTCAAGCGCGACTTTCCGCTCAAATACGTTACAAAACTTTAATGCGAAAAATTTTAAGCCAAACGTTGCTTTTCACCGCCGTCATCAACGTTACAAAAGCCAACTTGCGAACTTGCGAACTTGCGGACTTGCGGACTTGCGGACTTGCATACAAGTTAACCAACCGCTCACCACAACAACAAAACAATGTGTGCTGGGCAATTTGCAGGCGACCAATGTAACCAGCAGAGCTCAATATCAAATTGGCAGGTTGCAATAAAAGTACCAAATATTTTATCGATTCCTCAACTGGGTGTCGGTCGTAAATATTTATCGGGCTGTTTATAATCGGATAAACCGTAAATAGTTATATTTGATTTGTTATATTTATTGTGATTTATTATAAATTATGATTAAAATAGAATAAATCGAATACAACTATTAAAACGAATTGGCCACTAGTTAGTATGTATTTAAAATCATTTTTCTTATATCGGAGTAGAAATAATCGATTATTTCGTTAAGAATATGTGAGGAAATATTTAATTATTATTTTTAAAATTAAAAAGATGATTTAAAGTTAGTCAACAAATACAATATTCAATCAATTATTATTATATGGTATTATAAAAATATATATGTATATCTTACATAAAAATAATTTAATGCGAATATGAATTTGTACTAAGAGTCTTGAATGCAGAGGATGTTTATTTCAAACTAAATAAAGTGCTAATAAAATTATAAAATAAATATGTATATAACTGTTAACAAAGGCTTTTTTTTCTTAAAAGTAACAAATTTGAAACAAATTGTTTTTTGTTCATATTAAACTAATGCTCACCGCGCCATCTATTGATCACTAGCTAGTTATCAACGAAAGCCTTTTGAAACTGCAAAATTTTATCAAATTTGATTTGATTGTTTTACAAAATAGAAAATACACATATGCATATTTAACAAAAATTGTATGAAGAAGTATTACCTTCTTACAAAAATAAGAAAAAAAAAAAAACAAAAAACAAAAACCGAGTGATATTTATGCTACTTTTGTTCACCAAACAATCAATCAATTTGCTCTGCATTCAACTAACAAGACTGTGGCAGCACTGTGTGCACGTCGGACAAGGAACGGTAGTGAATGGTAAAATAGTGATCGCTGTGAAAAAGTATAATTGTAAATAAATTTTCTAGTGGTAATTTGTATAAAAACTACAAAATAATTTAACGTATATAATATTGTTAAGGTGCGCATTGAATAAAAAGCGGCAGAAAGTCATTTGCTTATTTAAAAATTGGGAATGAAAAAGTGATTAATAGATGGCCATTGAGCAAAACGCAAAAGGACCAAAGGGATAGTAAAGTGGGAGAAAAGAAATTTTAAAATGATTGTTTAAGAGGAGTGAGGGAAGCAAGGGTTGAAAGAATGTGTCAATAAAAAGTAGTCGAAAAGAAGCGCTAATAAAGCGAATGAGGTGGAGTTCGAAGAAACAAGAATGAATGGGAATAAAGGCAACACCATGCAAAACGAAAGAACAAAGCTAAAATAGACCGTAGACGCGAAATGCGAAAAGAAAAATGTAAAAATTTTAAACGGGTTGCAAAAGCAGGTAGATTTACTAATATATTTCTAGTTCTAGTAGTCTATTTACAAAAACTTGTACAATTTTTTGTTTTTGTAACGATGTGAAATAGGTATTATTAGATAACCGCGGTGATATATATGTCACAATATTTAATACCACTATTTAGCCTAGGTGTATGAACGACAACTGCAAATTTTTCATTCTGTACTATAAAAAGTATTTGTTTTTATTTTTGCGTAATTATAACTACCTTACCTTACATTCAATGCTTGAACCCATTTTTTTATTTAGATAACTTTGTCTAGCACTCAATACATTGGGTGTATGGTTTGTTTTAAATTTCTGTTAAAAGTACTTAAAAATGCAAACCTGTTTTCTACGAAAGGATCAGACAAAATAGAATAAGCGAACGTAAAGAGAAAATCAAACTCGTTAAGGGGGCGCAGCGAAAATTTAGACAGAACAATGCAAGGAGGACGAAAAAACGCAATGAAAAGTAAAGCGCACGGAAAATTTTCATTTCATAAAAAAACTGCTCATTAAAAATAAGGCAATACAAGTGATAAAGTGTACCAAGTGCAAACTAAATAAAAATTACGTTGTGAATTACTGGAGTATGAAAGGGTTTTTTGTAATTTTTGTATGAAAAACTAACTTGCTAAAAAAAATTTCCCACACGCGCACACAACCAAACGCACACACACGCGGATACCGCACAAAATCTCAAACAAAAAGGAAATCAATAAACGCAAGAAGCGGACCGTAGTAGAAGCATAAGTGGAAGTGGAATTTAAGAAGAAGCAAAGGAAAAGGTGAAGGTGAATTGAGTGCGCGAAAGTCGGAAAGAAAAAATGAATCGTAATAAAATGATGTGAAAATGCGGGACATTAAAAAATTTCAGCGTGGAGGCTGAGGACTGCAGAAGAAACTCTCGACTGATTGACAAGAAAATCAAGAGACAGACAAATTAAAGAAATATATGATTGTCTTGCCAGTTATTGTAATAGTAGTTTGCATAAATAATTATTAGGCAAATAAAGAAAAAGTTGATTTTATTATAGCAGTTGAATAGTAGTTACATTGTAGCGAAAAATTTCAATTTAACAAAGGATGGAAATGGCCAGCAGCGCCGCAAATGGGTCTGGCAGCACAACTTCTCACAGTGGTGTCGTGGGCAATACTTTGCCATCTCTCTTTGTCAGTGATCATAATGGCGGCAGCACATTAGTTAATAGCAAGGATTTAGATGGTCTAATTGCTATGAACGATAGCGCACTTTCACAACAAATCGAATTTATTCTGCAAGAAGCTCCCATGGAGCATGATGACAATGATATAAACGACCATTTGAATAGTGACGGAACTGCGAATATAAATACAGTCAGCAGCGTTAACTCCAACCCTACCATTAAACTACAAAACCCACCGAATATCATAGTAACAAGCGCTTCCGAATTCCCAAGAGCACATGTGACCAGTGACAGTGCCGCGGCAGCAATTGCAGCAACACAAGCAATGGCGCAACATCATTTATTGAATGGTCGTCGTATCATTATACAAACAACACAAACATCAAATATGATTAAAGAAGAAGAAGCGGATCCCGAATTAAATGATGAGAATCTACAAGATATTGAAGAAGAGGAGCAAGCTGCTGAAGCCGAAGAGAATCAATTGCAGCTCCAACATACAGCAGATATAAAAATGGAGCAAGATGATAATGTGGAACAAGAATTTATTAGAAGTGGTATAAATTATATAAGTACGCCTACGATAACTGCACACCATACGCAACTGCATGGCGCACAAACACAACAAATAGTTTTACCGGCCGGTTCAATAGTAGGTACAACAGCGACAGGCCGCACATTGGCAGTGCCCGTATCCGAAGCGTTGGCACAACTGCAACGACGTCCGGTATATATCAGTAATGCTATGGGTGGCATGACTGGTGCTACTTTCGTGCGTATGCCAGCTGTGATAAGTCGCAGTCCGATGACTGTTTTAAATGTAGTACAACAGGGTGTACCGGGTGGTGGGCCAACACAACTTATCCTACAGGCAGCACCTGTATCAAACACAGGCACACAAATGACAGTGGTTACTTCTAGTCCAACTGCAGCAACCACTGTACCCACATTACCACCAGTATCGACTGCCGTCACAGAAGTGGCAGTCACTGCCACACCACCAACAATAATGCCAGCATTAACTGCTGCAACACCAACACCAGCACAATCTACATCCCCATCGACAGCATCATCATCCTCGCCATTATCGTCTTCTGGTCATGTTGCGTCTTCCACAGTGGTAGCTACTACTGCTGCTGCTACGACGAACCCGTCGACGACGGCAGCCAAAAGTACTACAACTCACGCCACCTCAAATAGTAGCGGCAATACCAACTCAGCTTCCAGTGGCACTACTACTGGCAATTATCAATGTTTTTCATGTGTGGAAGAGTTCGAATCGAAAGAACTATACGACATCCACGTCTCAGGCCATGCCAACAACATGAAATGTGCTATATGTAACATGGTGCTGAAATCACTTAAAAACTATGAGAAACATTGTCTGCGCTGCAAGCCGTACGAGTGTCAAATATGTGGACGTGTTGTACGTTTCCGACCGAATTTCATCAAACACATGCGTGTGCATACGGGTCAACAATCTGAACGGCATAAATACAAGTGTGACGTGTGTCACAAGGAATTCATGAGTTTTGAGTATTTCAAGGTGCACAAAAAGATTCACAATGAAAATGTGAATTTGACGTGCGAGATTTGCGGCAAAGTATTTAGCGCGTTGGCGTCACTGCGTGGCCACTCCAAATTGCATTCGGGTGTGAAATTGCACAAGTGAGTAAATGCATGCTTTTTTGGTGATGATTTTATTTTTTGTTTTATTTTTTTTTGTTTTTGCTTACATTTTGTTTTCAGATGTGATGTGTGTGGCAAAGGTTTCGGACAGCGTTACAATTTGAAGATACATGCGCGTACCCACACCGGCGATTTTCCGTTTGAGTGCAAAGTGTGCAAGAAGAAATTGCATACACAATCTTCCCTACAAACTCATATGCAAGTGCATCAGCGCGATCAAAACTCACAAGCCACCAATACGGCCAAGAATGATAAAAGCGCGACCAATTCCACAGCGTCGACGTCAGCTGCAGCGACGACAGCTACAATTGTAAAACTAGAGCCACAGACAAAAGATGATGGCCCCAGCACTAGTGGAATGCAACGTCATTTGCAAAAACAATTACTCGAAGATATGGAAGATGATAACTCAGGACTGAGTGATAGTATTCAAGGAGGCGGCAATGTTAGTCGCATTGTCTCCACTTCTTCTTTGACCACAGGTGGTGGCCAGAATATGCAAACAACTACCGCTGAGGATTCCTCAAATGAATCTTCAAATGCATCACACGATTTAAAACAACAACAATTGCGACAACAACCACTCTTGGTGACACCCACACGCACCATTGTCATCAAGAATTATATGCAGAATGAACAGGGTATCGCACTGGCACAACCACAGACGCAGCATCAGACTAACGTCATACAGAGCAATAACCAAAGTGGCAGTAGCACGCTGCAACAGCAATTGTTGCGCAAGACGCCCATAATACATTCTACAGGTGGCGCTGGTACACTCTCCTCCGCTTTGGCGGGCGTGGTGCAACAAATCGGTAAGCGAAAGTTGATTTTTTTCCAACTGTTTAGTGTGCTTATTATTTTTGTTATTATATAATTTCGCAATATATCTGTATTTTAACAATTTTAATTGCTTTGCCTTTCACTAAAACATTTTTGCTTCTTTTTTCAACATAATAGGCACCTCACCCTCGCCATCGCCTTCATCCTCGTCGACATCATGTTCCTCGTCAGTGGTTGTGTCGAAATCAGGTGCTCCACTCTCGCTCGCATCCACCGCCATTGGCACCTCCACCATACGCAGCACACGCAATCACTTGTCACAATTCAGTTCGTCGATAACCTCATCGAGCAGCCACCACCGTGCGTTACAGCGCAATAATAACCACCGAAATCATAGCAACAACAGCAGCAACAACCACCGGCGTCGACATCCGACACATTTGGACGATGATGATGATGACGATTTGGATGATTTTGTCGATTCGACACGTGCGCATCATCGTTCGTTGCGTGTGAATGGTCAGCATTTTGATGATGATGACGACGATGAGAAATCCTCCCCGTCCTTGGCCACAGCGGCTATTATTAAAGTCGAACCGAATCTGTATTCGTCGGGTTCGGGCGACAATTCCAATGAAATGCTCATTAAAGAAGAGGTGATGTTCGAGGATTCGGCCCATCATTCGCCACACTCGCCGCCAAGTTCGAAATTTCGCATGTCGAATTTCGATAGTGATTTGGATCATCATGTCGATTTGAATCATTCGCTGCCGCCATATGGAAATCTCTTTGACCCGCATTCCATACCCGATACCATTCCCGTGCAATTGTATCCAGACGATGATGATGATTTTCGTCTGGATCACAGCTCATTGGGACCGCTGCATCAGACATCATCGTCCACCACCGATGGTGATTTCATAAAAAAAGAATGGGTCTACGGCACAGGTTCCAATTACACGATGAACGGGAAATTCGGTGATGATAGCGATGCGCTGTGCGACTCGGCGAATTTCATTTACGACTGAGCAGCAGTTGTGCCCCATATGATCAGCTGAGCAGTGTTATTGTTTATCAAGAAACGAAAAGTGTAGTTGTGCGTAATCCGTGTACTACATGATTGATGTATGCAAATCAAATATTATATAGATATATATATATATATGCGATGAGTGCCCATCAGAAGGAAGCAATGATAAAGTTGCGTACAACAAATGCCAATATTAGCAAGTATTTTTTTCTGTCTGTATTGTTAAACGAAATTAAGCTAAAAATTCTTTAAAAAAAAAACCCTAAAACACTCAATGTAATGGAAAATATTGTTATTTTAGTGTTAACCAGCGACACTAAACCAATTGGATGTCAAATTCGTGAAAAAAAAAAAACCTAACAAAAACAAAACAAATTCGTGGTAGTGAATACGCGCAATGTAGGCAATGCAATCAGTAGTTATAAAATAATATTACATACATATATATGTACATACATATATACACACACTTACACATGTATATGTATGAGTAGTTGTGTGTACGTGTGTGTAATTGCTCACCAGCGCGAACTTGACTGACCGAAAGGAACTGCTGCAGGAAGTGGCTTCTTCCATGACACTCGTTTCGCAATCTCAAAAACACACTATCTCTCTTTCGAACTCTCACTCTAACTTTCTCTCTCTCTATATATCTCAAACTGTTTTTGGCTAGCACAAATGATTTTAGTTTTAGTAATAATTAAAAGCGTCAAGCATACATATAAAACACATTTATATACATACAATATATAGCGCATAAGTGTATAAGTAATTAACGATTCTCTAACGTAATTACATGTGTGTGTAAATATTATTGCAACGTACTCTTTTACTTTTTATTCATATTTTACTAATTTATTTTGATTTAAGTTGAATCGATTATGATATTTGAATTTGTGTGTGTTGTGCGTAAAAAATGTAAAAGTGTAAAATTGTGACTAAAAAACAAAAATGCTAATATTTTGAAACATTTTTAGTTTACTATTGTGGTTTTCGAGCATTCGTTTTGTTTCTGCGTTGTTGCCTAATGAATGCAAGCGTTTTAAAAAATATCATGAGTCTTTTATCAGCAAGAAACAGTGTGTTTCAACTAGTGAGCTGTAATTAACGGGATTTATTTGTGTGCCGAAATGCCTCAATTCCTTACTATATTAATTTTTATTAATTTTTCGTAGCAGCTTTCGACATTTAGCGATCTCAGTTCTGAGCTCTTGAGAAATCGCCACAAAAATAAAAGCATACTTTTAAGCGCCTACGACAACATTCGAAAAATATATTTTTTATTGCTGCGAATGCTGTTGTGTGCTTGTAGCGGCAGTAAATATTCCTCAAGTAATTTTGGCAGTCCTTAGCTGTTTAAAAATCCGGATGCGTTCCGGTTACTCAGACCCGATTGTCGTGGGAACGAAAGCTGCAAGTGAAAGTGCTGAAATGTACTCCTTACAAGATCACAATCAACATTTGTGAGAGTATGTCACTCAAGTAGCGGTCAGCAATAAAAAAATAATTGTTAAGAAAATTTTCGTTGCCTACTTTTCAGCGTCAATAGTTTTTGGTAAATTTTAACCAGCAGATTTTACATTGTTTCGTTGTTCTCGCTTGCTATTTAATTTCGTTTCTTTCTTGCGACAATCCGAAATGAAAAAATTTATTAAAATATGCGCAATTGAACTGTGTTTTTAGAAAACATTTTCACCGTTCACGACATTTTTAGTGTGTTTTTAAATTTGTAATAAATTTTCTTGCTTTTAGTAATGTCAAAAAATTCTTAAGCATTTTTACGCATGCTGCATGTTGTTGTATTAAAACTCTTAAAAAATTTCATAAAATTTTGGGAGCAAAATTCAATCAAATGCTTTGGAAACAAAAATTAATTTCTAAAAAATATAATAAATTTCGAAAAAATAGTAAATTTCGAAAAAAATAAATCAAAAAAAGATAAAATAAAAAAATAAATTACTAAATTAAAAAAAAAATTATAAATTTCGAAAAAAAAAGTTTAATACAACAATTTAATTTCTAATAAAAAACTACTCAAAAACAAAAATAAACTTCTAAAAAGTTAAATACATTAAAAAAAAATAACACTTAGGTGTTTTTGCTCTCCGTGTGGAGAGAAATAATTATTGGTTAAAAAAAAATATTAGTTAGTAATTATTGGTTTAAGAAGAAATAGCAGTATTGTGCATATTTGAATATACCGAAATTCTGAAAAAAACTACTTAGTAAAATTGTGTGCAATATTTGCACTAACATACACACAAATGCGCGCATAAAATTTTTTTTTTGTCAAATTGTAGGCAAAATTTCCAGAAAAACGTTAAAAATTATTGATCATCAATTTTTTTTTTTTAAATCATTTTAA